TTTTCATTTTTTGGGGAAAATTAGCAGGGAAAGTATTTAGTGAGCGAAATTAAATTGCACTCGTTAATTTGATAGCAAAGTGACAATGAACAAATATTAATTTTTTAAGAAATAGGTTTGAAATTTTTTGGGGGAAAATTAGCAGTGAAAATATTTAATGAGCAAAATTAAATTGCACTAAAAAAAAAAGGGAATTTTTTAGGAAATAGGTTTTCATTTTTTTGGGAAAATTTGCAGGGAAAGTATTTAGTGAGCGAAATTAAATTGCACTCGTTGATTAGATAGAAAAGTGGCAATTAACAAAAGTAAATTTAGCAAGAAATAGGTTTGAAATTAATCATTACTCGATCATTTAACAACGACATTTTTTAATAGTCTCTGAGTTTTTAGGATCCCTAATAAAACACCGTGTACGTGTATTGCTCACTGTTCAAAAGAAGAGGGTTAAAGGAGCTCTATTCTGCTCTATTCTGAATTTTCCCACTGTTAAATAGCACAATTTTAATTTTAATTTTGATAACACTATTTTACAAAAAAGCAGCTCACTTTTAGAATTATTCACAAAGATCGCCATAGCAAAATGGTTGCCACGAAGTATCGCAGTTAGACCCCAAAAGACACGACAAAAGATCCGAACAGATCACCCACGTTGCCCCGGTCCCTTTCGACCAAAGAGAAACTTCACCCAGCAAACATCTTTCTCCAAAGCAAAATCTTCTAATCGTCACCTCGGGGAGCGGAAACGTAACCGGAAGTAGAACCGTTGAACAACTCTCCGTAAACCGAGGCTTATAACCGCGAAACAGACCGAAAAAAACATCATCTCGCTAATTCATACTTGAAAAGTTAACGTCGAGTTTTCACTTCTACCGTTTCTTTACAACCTCGCGATTAATTAAAATTGTAACACTTAAATAATTTCTTCAACTTTCACTTTTTAACCTACGATACTTGTTTTTGCAAGATTGTTCAACGAGAGAGAGAGAGATACGTTAGGCTCGTATAGGTTGGAGATTTATCAAGTTCAGTGAAAGAACAACTTTCATTCTTTGAACGTGTAGAGTTGGAGACGTGAGAGGCGTGATTGCTTCTCGGTATAGTTTCCCTTCTAATTTCCTCCTCTCGACCGATTATCCTCTATACAGGATGCACGGCGTCGCTCCATATAGACGCCGTAAACTCCGTAAAGGGAGACCATCTCGGACGAAGAAACCACCCAAGGTTTCTACGAACCTGTCGACAATTTGTACCATCTTCTTGCAGGCTGTCCCTCAAGACGACCGCCTCCTTAAGAAGTGGACGCAAAGTCGAGCGAAGGATTTCTTATCGACGTAAAAGAGGAGCGCGTAGATCTTTCAGACTCCTCGGTGACAAATTCATTTTCACCTTGCAATTTGTCTTCTTCGCGGGGTTTTTAGAGGTACTCTTGCTAATATCTCATGCTGATTAGATAGGTTAAGTGTTGTAAGGGCTACAATCTGGGTAAAGCACTTTAGTCTGCACAATTTATACAACGCGAGCGCGTGTCGTCTTTCTCTCCATCGACGCCGAAGCAAGACAATCTGCTCCACGGGGGAAACAGTCGACGATCGAGCCCAATAATCCTCCCAGCGCCATCCATGACCTGTTATCACGCTCCTCAATCTTTACATACTGCTTTACCGTATGCTCCGCTATGGTGTAATATCGAGTCGTTTTGTAAGTTTGTGTCGAATGTGAAAAATATTTTTGTGAAGAATCAAAGTTTTCTATACTTCATTTAAAAAACGGGGGGAGGGGGAATTAGTGGACCTGAAGGTGACTATGTTTTTTTTAGAAAATATGAAGGTGTGATTTAAATTTGATAGAAATGAAACTCTACCAAAAAATGGTGAAAAATTGGTAACCTCAAGAAAATTAAGTTTTTTTTTATCAAATTTGATTTTTTTATCTAAATTTTGCTGTAAAATTTGAGAACAATGAAAATAGTCGCAAAGTAATATTTTTCAAATTTATTTAATTTCAATTTAACCCTTTCGTGTCCACAGAGAGGCACAAATTTCCCACTCGAAAAAGAACCGATCTCAATTTACTATGCTTCACACACGTCACAAATAATAAATTTAAAAAATATACAATTCAGTCAGGAAAGGGTTAATTTTCGTTATTCTTCATTTGCAATTATCAACTTCCCTCTACACCCACAAATAAACAAATAAAACGAGCAAAAATCCACTACACGTCAAATTCCCAATTCCCTTTAAACCCGCACAATAATCTTCGTTTATCCTCGTTGCAATTTCTCCGCACGTTCCGTTCGTTTCGCGGAGGCGACAGAAACGGGGGAGCTAAAAATCTCCAGACAGAATTCGAGCCGGCATTATTCGATTTCCTGTATCGATCAGACACGGTATATCACGGCCGTACAAGATGTACGCCGCGTTTTTCAGCTTCCGTCGTTCTAGAATTCGAACGACGTGCTTCCCACCCCGTCCCACCGTGTCGCTCCTGAGGAATTCCCGCCGCATAGTAAGTAGCCTGCCACCAAGGCATCCTCCGCGACGTCGCGAGGCGATCAACTTTTCCCTCGGAAGTCGTCGCCGACGAGCCTTATTGTCGAGATATCGAGACTCGTGACTGGCAATTTTATTTTTCAATTTCCCTTCGGACAGATTTTATTTCCATTTTTTTCCTTTTTTTTTCAAGATAGGGAGTGGATCGTGGAAACGTGAGCGGAATGGAGATTAGAGCGACAATAGAGCGGTGTTACAGCGATTAGATGACAAGAAGTCAGTGATCATTCAATGGAATCGAAGGTGGTAAGAGATGATTAAATGTCAGGAAGTGTCTTTTTTTTGGTTTTGATAGAGGCTTTTGTAGTGTGAAGAGTGGAGGCTTGAGATGTGAAATGTTTTTTGTGTTTGTTGTGGGTAAATTGTATGAATATTTCTAAGGTAAAATGCCTAAGCTTAACACGTTCACTGTTAAAAAAGTGAGTGCAGAGGTAATTTAACTTAATTGCCCCAAAAAATGACAAATTTTCCCAAATTTCTTTCGTTTAAATAACCCTGTCGATTTAATTACTTTCAAACATTTTCCTTGTATCAAAAACTGTGCATTGAACTACAAACCCGAGTCACGAACGTGAAAATAAAATTCTCTGTTGAAAAATAAAAAATTCGGTGTGATTATTTTTGTTTGAAAAAGTAAGTCATTGAAATCTTAATTTTTGATGTTTTTGTTCGAAAAAGTAGGTTACAGAAATCGCAATTTCCTATATTACCGATCAGTGTGATAATCTTCGAACTTAACAAACCTTCTCTTTCACACTTGAAAAATTGCGATAGGTTATGTCGCAGCTCCACATTACCGACCATCCTTGCGCAACAACATAAACATAATTTTCTCAGCGCAGAGATAAGGAAGGAAAGTATATTGCATCACGATGATGTCAAATGTTAGCGGATGATAATTGGAGATTAGCAAGTGTTCCTTGAAACAGTTCGTTGGCACGCTCTTGGATCGAGAGTCTGCCGATGAATCATCTTCGATAAATCAACAATTCGAGTAAGCTTGACCACTAAGCTTCCGAGCCTTGAATTAATTCAACTTTGCAGAATATTCAACGAAATCTTATCTGAAATCTTCTTTTCGTAGAAATTCTCTAATAATCACTTCTAACCTATTTCCGACAAATTTAATCGCGTTTATCTTCGCTAATCTCCTCCGAGAAATTTCGGTACACTTATCTTTACTAATTCTTCTTGACACGGAGAAGAATATAAAACGGTTCGAGGAATTGTTTATTCGACAGAGATATTGTGGGAATTTTTCAGCGATCTCTTGTCAAATAATTACGAAATCTTGTATTTTTTGGGGTTTAACCCTTCCGATTCCGGTAGCTTGAAATTCAGCCCTAAACATATCCAATTGTTTATAAAGTATTTGAGTCTCTGACAGTATTGTTGGAACCTAGGGAAAAATAGTGAGGGACCAAACGGGAATCGAACCCGGGTCCTTCGGCTTAGCAAGCCGAGGCTTTGCGCGCTACGCCAACCACTCCCTCTCTATTGTCCCTTAGAGGTTTCCTATTTGGGTATGGAGGCCCCGATACTACACTCGGCCATTCCGAACTGACATTCGCCCTCGAATGAACTCAACACTCAACACTTTCGGGTACCACTCTCCTCACACAGTGGCACTCTCCGCCGAAACTCTGTTTCTCAACTCTTTTTGGGAGACGTGCAACCCTCTCACATGTTTTCATCTCACAGCGCCTGGCTTCCCCCATGGACAAGCCTCCATTTGTAGGAACCTAGGAAAAAATATTGAGAGACCCAACGGGAATCGAACCCGGGTCCTTCGGGTTAGCAAGCCGAGGCTTTGCGCGCTACGCCAACCACTCCCTCTCTATTGTCCCTTAGAGGTTTCCTATTTGGGTATGGAGGCCCCGATACTACAATATTGTGATTTTAATATAGGGGGAGTTCCCTTAACGCCAGACGGCACCTAATATCGGACATTAGATATATCTGCAGTAATTGAAACGCTACCGAGCCGTTATTCTGCGTATCTCCTAGAGGAGACAAAAGGAATAAAAATAAGTTTTCTACGCGTTTCAGTCGCGTGTGCACAGGTAGAGAGATTTATTTAAGAAAAACCTTAAGTGTCCGGCGCTAGGGGAACTCCCCCTACCATATTCAGTATTGTACCGAATAATTAAGAAAGGAAAGCGATGACACATTCTCACCGATGTCGGGTCGGAAGGGATAACGAAGAGAAGAAGAGATAGGATGGAAGTTTTCTTCAGATAAAAGATACAGTTTGATTCCTGGTAATGTATCTACGAGACAGATTTAACGGTTGTGTATTTTCATGCAGCCACACATAAATCTGACGCATCGTCGCAGATGTGATCGATAACAGATATTTATGCGCTCTCGAGCAGAGGTTACGCTCGTTCTCCTTGACTTCCAGTCGTTTCTATTCGCGACGCATGGAAAAATAATGATACCACTCACCGTGTAAGGGATGATGTTAAAGTTTAACCGCGTCGCCGCGCCATCCTCGCTCTCCGTGTCTGAATCTGCGAAACAAAGAGGAAATCGTCACGATTATTTCGATATTCTGTATTATTTTTACTTCAGTTGCAATTTAAATTCGCCGTTGTTTCATACGTGCAAAAGTAACTCGTTAAAATTGCTATTGGTAAATTGCAATTTTTTTTATCGAACCTGAATGCACTGTTTGAAATTTTAAACAGTAAGAGAAATAATGGAAAACGGGTCCATAAATTTTACTAAAAAAAACAAACAAATGTCTAAATTTCCAAATTAATTTTGCAGACGTGAAATTTTTTCAATACACTCTCAAAAAAATTGGGTAGATTTATTCTCCATCGTGTTGTTTACAAAGAACGGTATTTCATTTTTGTATACTGTCCTAATTATAAGAAATTTTGTTTTAAAATATTGTTAGATAGAACAAACCATCGCTCAATTTCAATTTACTAATTTTTTTAGAAATCTTTTTAGCAACCTTAGACATCTATTTGATAATTTCAGTTAATAATGCGTTAATATACAGAAAATATTGTTTTCAATAATTTCAAATATTAAATAAACGAAACTAGCTGGAATTGGTTAAATTTCTCAGCTGATAAATTCGAGTACAAATGTTTAATTCGATTGGAATTGCGAACGCAAGTTCCATAGAGCGAACTGCAACGTGTGTCCTATGCAGGCGTTGAAATCACCGAAAGCAACGAACCTCTAGTCACGTTCTGATCGCGATAAAGCTCGAGTAAAAGTGTCTAGCTCGGTGAATCTAATGGCGTACTACCTGTCCAACGTTTAAGACCAACTTCATTTTATAATTCTCTATACTTGAAAGCGATAAACAAGTACAATCCTGGGTAAAAAGATAGCAAACGTGGATATTCAGAATTCTCCAAATTTTCTCAGTGGTTTACAAACGTTATCTATAATAGTAACGTAATATATATATCTTCATTTTCATATGTTACATTACTTCCATTTGATATTCACAAACCATTATAATTGATACAAAAATAATTACAATATTTTGTAGACCATTCAGAAAATTGGGAAAATTCTGACTGATAATTTGAACCACGTGGAATATCTTCATTATTTTTACAGATTAAAATCGTCCAAATTCCATTTAACAAAACAGAGCTAGTCTTGAAATCTTTGAAAATTCTCCTCCTATAAAATATTATTACTCACAAACGAAGCTTTTTCGTATTTCTAAGATAGGGTGATTCCGGGAGAGAGACGGACCAGACAAGTATTTCCTACGTTATCCGGCAAATGTGGAACGTGTCAGTATTCTTTTGTTTTACATTCGTTTTACGGAAAGCGATCGAGCGTGGCTCTCAATGTTTCTTCTTCCATATCTGGCGGATAATGTAGGAAACACTTGCCTGGTCCGTCTCTCCCGAAATTACCCTATTGGAGGTTTCCAAGATTGGATTTCTAAGATAACAGAGATATTTCAAGTGGTCAAAATTACTGGTCCACCTTGTATACCCCGAGGTAGTGTTTAAGAAAATGCGGAGAATTGAACGATGGCGCACACGTGCAATCTTTCTGTCAAGGAGTGGTAAGAACGAGCGCGTGACGATAAGAGATCAGCCATTACGTTCCAGGAAAAACCGAGGCAAATGTGTTTTAATCGTCGTCAATTTAGAATCGAGCAACGTAGGACACGTGTGCCCGTGGAATCGAAATACGTATACAGGGTTTTGCAAAGAGAGAAAACCAACAAAGTACGTTCGTTTCCGCGTTAGAACGTCGAGAGAATTGGCAATTAACGAAAAAATCGATTCGCTGACTGTTGTAAGAGGAAAATAAATCGATCATAAAATTTCTCCTTTTATTCTCTTCGGCAAGATTTATAGAATCGTTTTTCTCGGTCGATTAAACCTGATACTCGGTGTATTATTCGAGGCACTGTCAGGATAATGTATGAGAAACGGTGCACCTTTTGGCCAAAAGGTCACTGAAACGCAACGGCTGTGCACCGTTTGAGTGATTACACGTTATTAAACAAATGATTCGAAGAGAACTCTTTCTCGTCACGACCATCCTTTTCTATGATTACCTGTAATTCGTCTTCTCCTACAGAATTATATAATTTTTTTTCCTCCGTTCTGATAGTCGGTTGTACTCGACTTTCTATCACTTCGACGAACAAGAGCACACACCGTTCACTCGAGGTGTATTATTAACAGGTTGATTTCATCTTTGTTCAAGATATTAACGCTCCGTTTACCAATTTCTTGTGACCGTATACCCGTTTGTGAAATATCCCAACTATCGAACGAGACTTGGCAAAAATTTGAAAGAAGAACGAAAAGAAAGATCTGAACTTTTGAACCAAACATAGTAAAAATTGAAAGAAGAATGGAAGAAACATTTAAACTATTGAGGCAAACGTAGTAAAAATTTGAAAGAAGAAAGAAAAGAAAGGATAGTAATTTTTACTTTGCAGTATTTAAGAAAAATAACGAGTAGACAGGATGGAATGTAATACGCCTTCTGACGAGTCCTCATCATGGGAAAATTTACAACGCCTCTATGGCAAGTCTGACCGTGAATGCAAATGGCCGAAGATGCCTAAGAAGAATGCAGGCTTTAAACGTGTCGGTTGCAATTAAATTAATCACTGGACAAGACGTTTCCGTTAGGCTTAGCTAATAAAAACTGAAACGTTCATTGGCCAACGGTGTAATAAAAATAACGGGAATTGTTTCCATTTTTTCCTCTTAGGTTCCAGAGGTTAAAACGCTGGGCCAATTCCACGGTTTCTACGATCTACATTTGCCTTCTATTGAAGAAGTATTTAATCCTCTTGTAATCGTTAAACTACTTCAACAATCCATGTTCCAATTCTTCGTTGACATTAATGTTTCTAAACTACTTGTTCGCCTGGTGCAATTTCCTTTCCACAGTCTTCATAGACGACAATCATAGTAATTACGATCTAAATTGATTTGCTTTCGAAATATTAACTTAAAACAAACAAACATTCTGTGCTCGTTTTCAAAATTGAAGTCTCTTACATTTTCCATGATTTTTTAACGTGGAAAACTCTCGATTTGTTCGAAAAACTTAACGGCGGGAAATTCAAAATTACGAAAAATATCGCAGCCTTATAATTACTTATTTCGCAGTTGATATTAAACGTTTCGTGCAGCTTTCATCGTCGGAAATTGAGCGATAGAACGCGACGATCGATCACGATTCGCTGCTAAACGTGAAACGAACGATGATATACCTGAACTTTCGAGAAAACTTTGTCCAAAGCTCTTGTAGTCGGAGCACGGTGAACCGTTCATGGAGAAGTACACGACATAGTCGCGGAATTCCTTCTCGTAGATGTAAATATTGTTTTGCTCGTAGTCCAAGAACTCCCACGATGAGGTCGACATGATCGAGCAGTCACTTTCCATTACACTCGTATATCAACGGAACGATCGATGGAAAATCAGTATTTATCTGATACACTGCACACTATCTACTGTTCACGTTTGCGAAATTCAATATCTCACATTTGTTCAAACTTTTATTATCCCGGTTTCAAATGCACTACTCGTCCGCTTGGTGCAATCACCGGTAATTATCTGTAATTTCCTTTCGTTGCAGATAATAGCTTATAATTGTAATTACGATTTAAATTAATTTTCTCGGGGAATATTAAATTTCCAAAAGAGAAATTCCACGTTCATTTTCATCTTAATACACAGATGACAGGAAATCTTTCTAAATTATTTATTCACTTGGTGTAATCTTCATTCAAAAATCATCTGATCACTATAATTAAGAGCTAAATTAACGTTCGTTCGAAATACTAAATTTCCAAAAAAAAAAAATTCCATATTAATTTCCATCGAAACTCTCATTTGACTAGAAATGCTTCAAAACTGAAGTCCATTCGCACTTTCCACAATTTTCTAATGGGAAGAAAGCTTCCAAAAATATCTAATCGCTATAATTACAATCTGAATTAATTTTCACTCGAAATACTAAATTTCCAAAAAAGAAATTCCACTAAAGCACACACTTCACTGGAAATGCTTCAAAACTGAAGTCCGTCCACAATTTTCTAATAGGAGGGAAGCTTCCGGTTTACTCGCGCAAATTTAATGGCAGGAAA